TACCATGGCGCTCCTCGATTTGGGGCTTGGGTTTCTTTCGCAATTTGGGTTTCTTCTGATTGGTCCTTTCCAGGAGGTGACGGATGTGCCGCGTCACTGGGGAGAGACACCCGGGGGGGCCCGGAACACACGGAAGGTGAGGACGGAAAAGGAACTCACGGGAGGGAGGGAACAAGGGGGGGAAACAATGGAGGGGAAAGAAAGGGAAGGGAAATGAAATGGAAATGGAAATGGAAATAGAAATGGAAATAAAAAATGGAAATAAGAAATGGAAATAAAAATGAAAATAAAAATGAAAATTAAAAAAGAAAGAGAAAACCACAAAAATAAAAAATGAAAATAAAAAGGGAAATAAAAAAGGAAAATAAAAAATGAAAATAAGAAATGAAAATGAGAAATGGAAATAAAAATGGAAATAAAAATGGGAATAAGAATGAAAATAAGAATGGAAATAAAAATGGAAATAAGAATGGAAATAAAAATGGAAATAAAAATGGAAATAAGAAATGGAAATAATGAAGGAAAATGAGAAAGGAAAATAAAAAGAAAATAAAAAATGAAAATAAGAAATGAAATAAGAAATGAAAAAAAAGAAAATAAAAATGAAAATAAAAAATAAAATAAAAATTAAAATAAAAAGCAAAAAGAAAAATACAAAAATAAAAAATTAAAATAAAAGGAAAATAAGAGTGGAAAATAGGAAAGGAAAATAAAAATGAAAATTAAAATCAAAATAAAAAGAGAAAAGAAAAACATGAAAATAAAAAATGAAAATGAAAAGGGAAATAAAAAAGGAAAGAAAGGAAAATAAAAAATGAAGATAAAAAGGGAACTAATGAAGGAAAATAAGAAAAGAAAATGAAAATAAAAATGAAAGTAAAAATGGAAATAAAAACGAAAATAAAAATGGAATAAGAACTAAATGAAAATAGGAAATGAAAATAAAAATGAAATAAAAATTGAAAATAAAAAGAGAAATTAAAGAATAAAAAATGAAAATAAAAAGGGAACTAATAAAGGAAAATAAGAAAGGAAAATAAAGAGGAAATAAAAAATGAAAATAAGAAATGAAAATAAAAAATGAAAATAAAAAAGGAAATAAAAAAGGAAAATAAGAAATTTAAATAAAAAATTAAACTAAAAATAGAAAAAATCCCTACAAAAAAAAAGGAAATAAAATAAAAAACTAAAGGGAAAAAAAAAAGAAAATAAAAAAGGAAAATAAAAAGGGAAATAAAAAAGGAAAATAAGAAAGGAAAATAAAAAATGGAAATAAAAAATGAAAATAAGAAATGAAAGAAGAAATGAAAATAAAAAAGAAAACAGAAAATGAAAATAAAAAAGAAAATAAAAATGAAAAGATAAAATTAAAAATAAAAAGTGAAAAGAAACCCACAAAAATAATAAATGAAAATAGAAAGGGAAATAATAAAGGAAAATAAGGAAGGAAAATAAAAAATTAAAATAAAAAATGAAAATAAGAAATAAGAAATGAAATAAGAAATGAAAATAAGGAAGGAAAATAAAAATTAGAATAAAAAATGGAAATAAAAATGAAAAAAATTAAATGAAATTAAAAAAATTAAATCAAAACAAAAACATGAAAAGAAATTAAAATAAAAGTAAGAAAAAATACCAAGGAAATTGAAATAAAAAACTAAATGAAATTAAAATAAAGGATACAGAAATAAAAGGAACTTGAAATAAAAAATGAAATTAAAATATACAGAAATAAAAGAAAATTAAAATGAAAAGTAAAAAATCAGGGAAAAGTCAAGAAAAATAAAAATGCAAAAATGAAAGTTCAAATTAAAAACAAAAAATGAAAAAAACACAAAAACTGAATCAAAGTAAAAATCAAAAGAATAAAATAAAACGAAAACAAAAATCAACCAGAAACGACAACGAAATGCAAATACAAACAAATCATATGCAAATACAAACAAATCATATGCAAATGAGGATGCAAATCAACCCCCAACATGACGACCAAACGAAGCAATGACTCGAAACACAAAACCCAAACGAAACTCCTGAAAATCAAAACACAAAACTCCAAATGACAAAAATTTGGGAATGACCCCGAGGGGGAAAATGGATTGGACAGATGGGGGGGGGGGGCAGAGCCTCTTCCGGGAGAACTTCTGGGTGTGGAATCCGGTGGGAAATGAGTTGGACACCTCCAGGGGTGTCCCTGGGGTGGGAGAAGCTTCTGGAAGTCCCTCGTGGACACCCCTGGTGCGGGTGACGCCCGTCCCGCGGTGACGCTGGCACAGCAACCTCCGGCTCCCATCCCACAGAGGGATTTCCGGGAAGGAGGAGGAAGAGGAGGAGGGTGGGAAAACTCTCACTGGGGGCAGCTCCTCACCCACCTTTCCAAGAAGGAACTCGACGAGTGGGAAAGGAACCAAACAAATAACAAATAATGGGGCTGTGACGTCACAGGAGCCACGGAACATTCCGGGTGGGAAGGGACCTTAAAGATCATCTCGTTCCACCCCCCCGGAACCTTCCACATCACTCCCAAATCCTCATCCAACCTGGTCAAGGACACGTCCCAGAGGCCACTGGGTGGTTTCTCACCTACCTTTGGTGTCATTGACCGGATCCATGTGCCGGTAAATGTATCCCTCTAGGTAGGAGTGGAATTTGGGGGTGGGCGGGAAAAAGGCCAAGCAGATGGCCATGAGCTCCCAGCCCCGGGCCAGGCTCTCGTAACGGAAGTTCTCGGTGGTCTGGCGGCATAGCTGGATGTAGAGCTCGTCTCGCAGGCCCTGCATGCTCCAGCCCTTGGTGGCGATCTCCAAGGCCACGTTGAGCTGGTCCGTCTTGGCCCGGCGGTCGCCCATGTACATCTGGATGAGCTTGAAGATCTCGCACGCCTCCTTCTTGACGTTGCGGTCGTTGGTCATGATCATGGGCTTCTTGATGGACTCGCTGCTCCAGGCCAGCATGTTGGCGATGGAGACCTTGCGGCGGAAGAGGCCTTGGGTGTGCTTGTTGAAGTGCTTGGAGGCCCAGTTCTCAATGTCCGTCTCCGAGGAGGGTTTGCGCAGGTTGAAGGTGGGGAAGACGCAGCTGGCGCTGGGCATCATGTTCCGGCTCTGGCGGCCGCTCTCGAACTGCGCGCACGCGCCCAGGTCCTCGGACTGCGGGACACAGCGGGCAGGGGGAGTTACAGGGGGGAGGGGCTGGCGCTGAGCAGGTGGTCAGCTGATCGGCCATCCTGCTGATCAAACAGCTGATCAACTATCCAGCTGATCAACCAACCGATCAACCAACTGATCAACCAATCAACCAACCAACTGATCAAAAAACCAACCAATCAACCAACTGATCAACCAACCTATTAACCAATTGATTAACTAACCATCTGATCAACCAACCAACCAATCAACCAATCAACCAACCAACTGATCAACCAAACAACCAGCCAAATGATCAGTCACCCAACTGATCAACCAGCTGATCAACCACCCAACCAACTGATCAACCAACCAACCGACCAACTGATCAACCAACCAACCAATCAACCAAACAACCAGCCAACTGATCAGTCATCCAAGTGATCAACCAGCTGATCAACCACCCAACCAACTGATCAACCAACCAATCAACCAACCAACTGATCAACCAACCAACTGATCAACCATCCAACTGATCAAACAACCAATAAGCAATCAATCAATCAACCAACCAATCAACTGATCAACCAACCAATCAACCAATAAACCACTCAACCAACCAACCAACCAATCAACCAACAAACCAATCAATCAAGTAAGCCAGCAAGTAATCAAGCAACCAATCAATCAACCCATGAACCAACCAAGAAACCAACTCACCAACAAACCCTGTCTGCCCCAAATCACCTTCCAAGGGGGTTCTCCAGCGGCCACAGGAGGAGATTGGAGACTCCTCCAAGCTGTGAGGAACACGGATGTTCCACCTTTACATCCCGGGTGCCGATGGCCACGAAGTGCCCGGGATTTACCCATGAACCCTGCAGGGCACCAGGTCAGCAAGGACCCCTGCAGAGCAGTGGCCTCCTCTTCCTGGACCCAGTACAGCTCGTGGACATCACCCCAGGAGGTGGTGGGACACCCAAAGAGCTGGTGACCAGCACAGAGAAAGCCAACAAGGACAACTGGGATGGACAATCCGTGGTCCCGGTGGCTTCATCGTCTAGGATGAAGTGGATGAAGTGGAATATCTGGGAACAGGCCCAGGAAGCAGATCCTGGAATGCTGGTGTCTTTGTGGCTCTTTCATCCCAAGGTTTTGAGGGACCGCCTTGCCAAGGACCGACTTCTTTGAGGGACCAGGTTAGTGAAGATCAACTTTAAGGGACTACCTTGTTGTGGACCAATTTCTTTGAAGGCCCAGGTTAGTGAGGACCAACTTTGAGGGATCACCTTGCCAAGGACCAACTTTGAGGGACCAGGTTAGTAAAGAACAACTTTGAGGGACCACCTTGCCAAGGACCAACTTCTTTGGGGGACCACACTGTCAAGCAGCAACTTTGAGGGACAAGGACCAGGTTAGTCAGAACCAACTTTGAGTGACCACCTCGATAAGGGCCAACTTCCTTGTGGGACCACCTTGGCAAGAACCAGCTTTGAGGAACCAGGTTAGTAAAGACCAACTTTGAGGGACCACCTTGATAAGGACCAACTTATTTGAGGGACCAGGTTAATAAAGACCAACTTTGAGGGACCACCTTGATAAGGACCAACTTATTTGAGGGACCAGGTTAATAAAGACCAAGTTTGAGGGACCACCTTGCCCAGGACCCACTTTGGGGGACCACCTTGCCAAGGACCAGCTTTGAGGGACCAGGTTAGTCAGAACCAGCTTTGAGGGACCACCTTGCCAAGGACCGATTTCCTTGTGGCACCACCTCGGCAAGGACCAACTTCTTTGGGGGCTCAGGTTAACAAGGACCAGCTCTGAGGGGGTTCCTCCTCCGAGGGCCCCGCGCTGCATCCCCGGCCCCGCGGCTGTTCCCGGAGGGCATTACCTGGGACGGGTGCAGGTAGGGCTCGGGAGAGGCCAGGTTGGTCTGGACGGAGACGCTCTTCTCCAGCAGGATCTGGGGGAAGCCCAGCTTCTCGAAGGTGTTCCTCTTCCAGTGCTTGTTCTCCTGCTGCGCCAGCGCCTCGTCCTCGCTGAAGGCCCTCACCACGGGGCCCGGCATGGGCAGGGGGAGGGCACCATCGCTCTCGTAGCCCGACCCGTCCTTTTGGGAATCCCAACTGCTCCTCTGCTTCATGTGGTAATGGGCCTGCTGCGCTTCCCAAGCCAGCCTGGCCTGGGCCAGGAAGGGCTCCGGGAAGGCCTCGGCCGCCTTGCTCTCCGTCCGGTTCATGGGCGAGCGGTTGGGCCCCCGTTCGTCCCCCAGCATCTGCTCGGCCGGCGCCTCCCGCTCCCCGCAGCCGTCGGCGGCCGAGGCGTTGGGCTCGTGGGCCACCGAAGGCTTCCGGCTTTTCCTCTTCCTGGTGGAGGGTGAGTAACCGGTGGAGGACAGGGTGTCCTGCTGGCTGGACCACGACATGGAGTCCTCGCCCTGGGCCGCTTGGCCGCCGCCGCCGGGGCAGAAGTCGGGCCCTTCCATGCTGCTGTAATCGCCGGATTTGACGTCCAGCCGCTGGTCCCGCAGCAGGCAGGGGCTGTGCTGCAGCGAGTAGGACCCGCCGATGGGGTTGGGGGAGTACTTGTGCCTCAAGCCCGTCTTCATCTTGGGGCTGGAGCCCGCCTGCTCCACGTAGACCAACTGCCTGACGTACTCCTTGCCGGCTGGGCTGTACTCCAGGCTCATGAAGCGCTCGGGGCACTTCTGCTTGGTGAGCACCAGCTGCTGGTAGGGCGAGTTGGGGCCTTGCTTGGGCGACTGCAGGAAGGGCTGGGGCTTCCGCACCGGCGATTTCTGGGGCGAGGCGGCCTTGTAGGCCCCGCCGCCGCCGGCCTCGTACTGCATGTCCACGGGGGGCTCGTCGTAGATGGGCGCCTGGTACTCCACGGGGGGCTCCTCGTAGAGGGGGGGTTCATAGGCGTAGCGCGGCGACGACGGCTGCGACTCGCCCGAGGCCCGGCGGGGCTGGGCCTGCAGCGCCGAGCAGAACGAGTCGGCCCGGCCCAGCAGGGGGGAGCAGCCGCCCCCGTGCTCGGCCCGCTTCGGGAAGGGAGACGCTTTCCTCTCCGGGAAGAAGACGGAGCCGGAGCTGTCGGCGTCCGAGGAGAAGGTCTGCAGGCCGGGGGATGGCTGCTGGCCCCCCGAGGGGCGGCGGGAGCGCGGCATGGCGGGCGGGTCGGCGGCGTAGCCGTTGCCCTGGTGCAGCAGGAAGCTGGGCTCGCGCTCCGTCACCTTGATCAGCATCCGCTCCTTGGTGCCCGCGTTCCAGCGCAGGGAGGACGTCCTGAAAGGTGTCGGGGGGATGACACAAAAAAAAGGGGGGTCAGAATTCCCTGGATTTCTGCTGCTGATCCTCCCAGGTCGTGGAAGAACACAAAGGATGGAGGAGCAATCCAAGCCTCTCCTGTCAGGTGATGATGACTC